TTGGGTGCTGACCGTGTAGATCATGACAATTCGTATTCAAGTTAACATGTACTATCAAGAATATTTTTGTTCGATTTTGTAGATTTCTTTGGTGCCTTGAGGGCAAGAGTTTAAGACGATTAAGTCAGAAAATGGATCAGAGGTGTCCAGTTCAAGGTATCGGGAAGAAGCTTGTGAACTCGAGGGATGGACCACCAACATTTGAGCAACCTAAGATGACCATTGAGAAGCTATTGGAATATGGAGACATGTTTGTTGCTGAGCAAGAGAATGTTAAGAGAGTCCAATTGGCTGGCAAGTACTTGAGTGAAGCTGCCCTTGGTGAAGGTAATGAAGATTCCATCAAAAGAGGAACTTTCTATGGTTAGAGCCCTTTCATTTTCGATTTACGAGACACATATTCTTAAATGATTTGAATTCGATTCAATTGTTATCGAATCAAGTTTGAACTAACCAAATACGAGTATCTTTGATGGCAGGTAGCAAGTTGGTGTTCCAGTTCCTGAAGGATGCACTGATCCGAATGCTGATAACTTTTATCCAAGGGCTAGAAGTGACGATGAAAGCTGCACTTACAATTCTAGCCCTTTTTTGTACCGTTTTAAAACCCTAATTAAGTAATGTTGTGAGATATTCCAACACTATCGATTGTCCTTTGATTTTAAGCGGATTTAATACCTCTGTTTTTTTTCTTTCAAATTTGGTAAAAAAAATTAATTTTTAAAAATGTCTGTTGAAATACTTCTGAAGTTTTTAAACAAGAGTTTGTACAGACTTTTAAATTTGAACAAACTAATCTATATTAAACACTAGTGAGAGTTTATACATAAATTTTATTCAACAAAAACAATTTTTACTTGTTTATTTCATATAAAATTTACTACTTGAGATCAATATAACATTTGAAATCACAGCTCCACGTCCTTTCCAATACCACTATTTAAATAGGTTATATATTTGAATAATTAGCAGGTAAACTGCTGAAGCAAATGCTCTTCTACTCAAGTATCAAGATGGCACACTCCATGCAGATAACTCCCCCCCCCCTTTCTCTTTAAAAAAATACATTCATTTTCTTAAAAGAAATAACAACAAAATTGAAGTTACGAATATCAAACATGAAGTTATATAATAATTAATCTATGCTACAAACAAATAAACATTCAAATATCGGGAAAACAGAATACTAACTTACCTCCGAGAAAATATTTAGACTTGAGCCACTCGGCATGTTTTCTAGCGGCATTTACCTTCTCCACATCTTTCTTATCATGGAGCCTTGACTCTTTAATGGGAGGACGAGCATCGAGGGTAATCATCTCAAGCATGACGGCATTCTTGATCAAGTAGATGCAGAATTCAGTATCTATTGTTTTCCCAACAAACCCAGTGATGTTCACCACCCTCAGGCTATGGTGGGGACATTTTTTAGCTTTCTTTTTACATCAGGCTCAATCTAAAGAAGCTGCATATATATATATGTATACAAATAGAGGCCAAATTGTGTCTTACAAGAATAAAGTTCATGCATTGTTAGAGAAAACAACTAACTTAGGCTTTATGCGCATCACAGCTCAGCTAAAAGTAGGTTTGTCTACATTTTCTACTCTTCTTTAGGCCGAAAGTAAGATGTTTTAGATACAAGACAACGATTGAAACAATGCAATCACATAATCATATTAAATCAGTAAAAACACATCACTTGGAAATGCATTGTCCTAGTGAATAAAACAATCAGAAACACACAGAATGCCGGTTGCAGTAACATCGATCTATACCAATTAATTAGTATGAGGAAGTTGGTACAAAATGCATTACGAATTGGTTTATCTAATAGTCACTTGTTAGTTAGTTGGTCATTTAGAATTTATGAAAATTAAAAAATTTAGTTGAATATTTTGACAGTTTTGTAATTTGATCTATGATTTCCTTGTTCCTTCAATTCCTCAATCTTTTGTTTTTATTAATTTGAACCAAATGCTCCAAAAATACTGTAGAATGCTTATGTGCATTCAATTCCTTTCTTATTTAGTGATTTTAAATCAGTGCACCATTTTTCTTCTCGGTTCAAATGCATTCAATGAGTTGTTTAAAGTAGTACAAGACTGCCGCTGCTGTGGGTGGATGTGTGATGGGGTTGTAATTTAGGATTTGAGTCTAAAGTTTTGAGGTTTAGGACTTGAGTATAAGATTTAAAATTCCAATTTAAAAATGGTGGCTACTCGAACGCATCTTCTGAGATGCGTGGAATTGAAAACAGAACTCAAAGAAGTGACGAGCAAAATCAATGAACTGATGATTCGTTTGAGTCATCCTTTCCTTAGACGCAGGCTGTGGTGCAGAAGCATCTCCGTCGTTCACTAGAGAATATGAGGTTGAAAGGATGCATGCAAGGTTTCACACCTACTATGGCAGGCTAAAGAGGCGAAATAATATTTGCGTCAAGTCATGCGCTAAGCTGAAGTAGATAATTGTAATCAAGAATCTTGGTTGGCCGGGAGTCATCAAGATTGTTGCCACTTCTAGGGATCCAGATAGACTTCGAAGGAGGGCGCGAGAGGCTGATATTACTATCGTTAGAGGATATCTTGGATAGAAAAGCTATAGTACAAAATACGCTAATAGATGTTTCTAAATAATATGAACATCGATCGACTGTTTTCTTTCTCTATCACTGTTTTTTCTTCTCTTTCACTGTTCTCAATCACTATTATCAGTAGCTACTACTATCATGTCATTTCTACTTTGAGACTTTCAAAATTTCAAATCAAAGCTATAGTGCATATTTTTACAATTCAAATAACAAGGAAAGAAATCCTCAAAGTAGAAATGACATGATAGTAGCAGCCACTGATAACAATGATTGAGAACAGTGAAAGAGAAGGAAAAACAGTGATAGAGAAAGAAAACAGTCGATCAATTTACAGATTATTTAGAAACATCTATTAGTGTATTTTGTACTATAGCTTTTCTATCTAAGATATCCTCTAACGATAGTGATATCAGCCTCTCGCACCCTCCTTCGAAGTCTATCTAGATCCCTGGCAGTGGCAGCAATCTTGATGACTCCCGGCCAACCAAGATTCTTGATGGCAATTATCTGCTTCAGCTCAGCGCGTGACTTGACGCAAATATTATTTCGCCTCATTAGCCTGCCATAGTAGGTGTGAAACCTTGCACACGTCCTTTCAGCCTTAAACCTCATATTCTCTAGTGAACGGCGGAGATGCTTCTGCATCCACAGCCTGCGTCTGAGGAAAGGATGACTCAAACGAATCCTCAGTTCATTGATTTTGCTCGTCACGTCTTGGAGTTCTGTTCTCAATTCCGCGCATCTCAGAAAATGCGTTCGAGTAGCCACCATTTTTAAATTGGAATTTTAATTTTAAATCTTATACTCAAGCTCTAAACCTCAAAACTTTAGACTCAAACCCTAAATCCTAAATTACAACCCATCACACCCACCCACAGCTGCGGCAGTCTTGTACTATTTTAAATAACTCATTGAATGCATTTGAACCGAGAAGAAAAATGGTGCACTGATCTAAAATCACTAAATAAGAAAGGAATTGAATGCATATAAGCATTCTACAATATTTTAGGAGCATTTGGTTCAAATTTGATAAAAACAAATGACTTCAAAAGATTGAGGAATTGAAGGAATAAGAAAATCATAGATCAAATTATAAAACTGTCAAAATATTCAACTAAATTTTTTAATTTTCATTTGACTCAAAATTTTCATAAATTCTAAATGACCAAAGTTAGGGGACCAACAAACTAACAAGTGACTATTAGATAAACCAATTCGAAATCAATCAATTAAGGCCAAAAAATCAAGTATAAATACACAAATACAACCTCCGTTCTCTCCCCATGCATTCGTTTAGCTTAACCATACATTAAAGTAACTTGATTTCTCAGTCCAACCAAATCATTTGTTGCAAACTACATACTATCATTTGTTGTAACAATATGTTTGATGAGTAATTTTGAATTTTGAATTTATTGTTAATATCAATATTTTTAGATATTTTCAAATATTTGCTTTAAAAATCCAGATTTTTTATTAAATTTAAATTTTTAAAAATGTCTGTTGAAATACTTCTGAAGTTTTTAAACAAGAGTTTATACAAACTTTAAAATTTGAACAAACTAATCTATATTAAACATTAGTGAGAGTTTATACGTAAGTTTTATTAAACAAATACGATTTGTACTTGTTTATTTCATATAAAATTTCCTACTTGAGATCAATATAACATTTGAAATCATAGCTCCACGTCCTTTCCAATACCACTATTTAAATAGGCTATATATTTGAATAATTAGCAGGTAAACTGCAGAAGCAAATGCTCTTCTACTCAAGTATCAAGATAGCACACTCCATGCAGATAAATCCCCCCTCCCCCTTTTTTTAAAAAAATACATTCATATTCTTTAAAAAAAATAACAACAAAATTGAAGTTACGAATATCAAACATTGAGGAACGTTAGAAGAGTATTATTAATTTATGAGTTACTAGTGGGGTTGAAGCTTAATCTAGTTAAAAGCAGAATTTATGGTATCAATGTTGAGAATGGGGTGTTAGATACTTGGGCTAATGATATTGGCTGTTCGGTAGGATATTTCCCTTCTGAGTATCTAGGCTTACCCTTGGGGTTCAAGAGGAATTCGGCTGCTATGTGGGATCCAATAGTGAAGAGATTTCATGCTAAGTTGAGTGGTTGGATGTCTAATTCCCTGACGGTTGTAGGAAGGGTAGTGTTGGTTAAATCAGTGTTGTGCTCGCTCCCGGTTTATTTTCTTTCCATTTTCAAAATTCCAGTTTCTGTGCTACAGAAATTAAATTCTATTATGGCTTCATTTCTGTGGGGGGGGGTGCGGAGGGTAAAAATAATATCCACTGGTTAAGTTGGAATTCGGTTAGTAAGCCAAAAAGATTAGGGGGTCTAGGGGTCCCGAATTTATCACTCTTGAATCGAGCATTACTGGGGAAATGGGTATGGAAGTTTGCAGCAGAGAAAGAGTCCTGGTGGAAAAGGGTGGTATGTGGTGTTTATGACTTGGACCCGAAGTGCATAATGATGGGGAACTCGTGGCCAGCCCGTGCATCATGGATTTGGAGAGGTGTGGTTAAAAATTTCTTCACCGATGATGCTTTTGGGGATTGTATTAGGAGGAATATGCTTTGAAGACTGGGAAGGGGAATTCTGTGCAGTTCTGGAATGATGTGTGGCTGGGAGAAGTTCCTCCGAAAATTCAGTTTCCTAGACTTTATGTTCTTTCGAGTAACAAATCGGGTAAAGTGATGGAGTTTAGGGTGAGCAATGGGGCTAGCTGGGTGTGGGACATTCAAATGAGGCGAAATTTGTCAGATTGGGAGGTTGATCAGTTGTTGCAGTTGATTGCTATGTTGAACAATATTTCTTTATCTCCACGTGAAGAAGACTGTTGGATTTGGTCAGGGAATGGAGAGGGTTGTTTTTCAGCTAAATCTTGTATCAACATTTTCTATGATCAAGATGGTAGTGAGCAGAAGAGGGTGATCTGGGAGAGGCATATTTGGGTTGGGATTGCTCCTCCACGGGTGGAGACATTTGTTTGGCAAGTTGCTCATCAGAGAATCGCGATTAAGGAGGAATTACTGAAGAGAGGTGTGGTTGGGATTGACGGTCCTTTATGTTCTTTGTGTGGTAGGGAAGTGGAATCAGTTATGTATCTCTTTTTGCATTGCGAGGTAGTTTGGGGTTTGGGGTCTAAATTTTTGAATATCTGGGATTTGTCCTTTGTGATCCCAAATAACATCATTGATTTTTTGAATTTGTGGGATGATTTACTCCCGAACTCGGTGATCTGGAAGTTTATTCCAAGGGCGTTGATGTGGTCATTGTGGAAATGCAGAAACGAGATCATTTTTCATAAAGTAAAGCTGGATGGGGTGAGACTGTTTTTTATTGTTTGTTTTAGAATAGCTTCCTGGTTTGTTGCAAAGTTCAAGGAGGTGCATATCCCTTTAGACTCACTTGTGGGTGATTTAAAACTTGTTGATTTAGTGGGAAGACAGGGAAATGGTAATCTCCAATCAAGTTGTTGGGTTCCTCCTCCAAATGTGTTCTTAAAGCTAAATGTTGATGGAGCGATGACAAAGGGCTTGGATAAGGGAGGTATTGGTGGTCTGATTCGGGACAGCAAGGGCATGTTGCTTAAATGGTTTTCAGAAAGAGTTGGGGGTGGTCCTTCTATCTTGGCAGAATTATTGGCGATTAAGAAGGGGTTATGTTTCTTGGCAGATTTAAGTTCTGTTCTGAATCAGAGGTTTATTCTTGAATCAGATTCAAGCAATGCTCTGAAGTGGATTAAGAATCCGGGGTTATGCACTCCTATGTTTCAATTATTGGTGAAGGATATAGTCTCTCTTATGGCAGGGAAGGATATCATTATTAGGCATATCTTGAGGACTGCAAATTGGGAAGCTGATAAATTAGCTAAAGATGGGATAGGGTGATGTTTTGGTTACTGTATGTTTGTGTTGATGTGTAGGAATTTTTACTATGTTTAGCTGTGGTTTTTAAGTTTTATGTAATTCATGGGGATGTTAGCATATTGTGAGGGTCTGCTTATGATGTACTAAAGTTTTCATCTATAAATTTCTAGGTACTCTTTCCTCCTTTCTTTGTCCTTCATGTTACTTGCATAACATGGAGGGTGCAAAAGGGGGTTTTAATGAGGCTTAAATTTCTATAAAAAAAAAGTTATATAATAATTAATCTATGCTACAAACAAATAAACATTCAATTATCGGGAAAACAGAATACTAACTTACCTCCGAGAAAATATTTAGACTTGAGCCACTCGGCACGTTCTCTAGCGGCATTTACCTTCTCCACTTCTTTCTTATCATGGAGCCTTGACTCTTCAATGGGAGGACGAGCATCGAGGGTAATCTTCTCAAGCATGACGGCATTCTTGATCAAGTAGATGCAGAATTCAGTATCTATTGTTTTCCCAACAAACCCAGTGATGTTCACCACCCTCAGGCTATGGTGGGGACATTTTTTAGCTTTCTTCGCTTTCCTTTTTACATTAGGCTTCATCCAAAAAAGCTGCATATATATATACACATATATAAATAGAGGCCAAATTGTGTCTTATAAGAAAAAAGGTCATGCATTGTTAGAGAAAACAACTAACTTAGGCTTTATGCGCATCACAGCTCAGCTAAAAGTAGGTTTCTCTACATTTTCTACTCTTCTTTAGGCCGGAAGTAAGGTGCTTTAGATACAAGTCAACGATTGAAACAATGCAATCACATAATCATATTAAATCAGTAAAAACACATCACTTGGAAATGCACTGTCCTAGTGAATCACACAATCAGAAACGCACAGAATGCTGGTTGCAGTAACATCGATCTATACCAATTAATTAGTATGAGGAAGTTGGTACGAAATGCTCTTCCAGTTTTCTAGGTCGTGAAGCAAGAATACGAACCTCCAATGACAGCTTGTTTAGTAAAGGGCGAGCATTTATCAACGACGAGAAGTGAAGAAGGCTTTCATCATCACGTGCAAAAAGACTTAGCTCCAATTGCTTGAGGTGGCTCAATATGGGGTATTCATACTTCTTCATCCATTTCTAAATTACAAAACAGCATGAGTTATGAAAACACAACAAATTTTGTAACTTGGCTAGCAAAAATATACTATACAAGCAAATAAACCAGTATTCAGCAAACTAACCTCAACAGATGCCATAGAAAATGCAAGCATCTCTAGCTGAGTTGAAACCGTTGGCATCCCAAGCATCTTACGAGTAAAATGTTTCAAACCCCTCCTCCCAATTGATAATTGGGTAATGTTCAGGACATTCATAGTGGGAATCTTTATCTTAGGTCCACTATATTTGAGTGATAAAAAGGTTGGCAGCATCAATTTCCAGACTTTGCATGCATAAATAGAAAATTATCTTCAAGTGTTTCAAACAGAGTGATGGACCGACAACTCTCAGATGAACGAGAGACTTAGAACCTTCCACACATAGGCATTCAAGAAATGGACTATTGGATATAAAGTAGGCAAGAGCTTCACCACTTCCATCTACTTGTTTCAGTATAAGAGATGTCAATAAAACTAGGCAAACATAGTGTCTGTAAGCACAGAGGGTAACAATTATTCATATCAGAACACCAGCCAGTATGGTCGGTTAGGTTCAATTCAAATCTTTTAACTTTTTTTCAAATGCAAATCTGACCCATTCATCAATTTCAGGTTTACAACTTTCACCTAGATGAAAGTGGATTTTGAATTCATCAATAGCAGCAGCAGATAATCGACAAGACTCCAACATGTGATTCGCCCAATTTAGGTACCTTGACCTTTCGAAAACATAAATTTTCTTCCCTTTGCGTCCATTAATCGGGTGAGCAAACTTAAGCATTGCCTGTGACCCATCAAACTCCAAACACGGATAGAAAGTCCAAAGTTTTTTCCATCCTCGAGAAATCACACTAGTTTTTGCTGCTTCTTTCATCGTCATGCAAGACAGAACCGAGACCAAAATTTCATCAGGTAGCTCACTTATTCTATCTTGACCATCAATGTCTCTCTGGTGATCCATTACATCATCGTAGGGGAAAATCACAAAATAAAATATATAAGTATTGGGCGGGAGGGAATGGACAACTATATTCATAAAAAGAAACATAGAAATTGTACCAGTTACAATCTAAAGAATACATCGCAATTAAGAAAACAATGCAATACCTTGAGTTTTTTTGAAGTGCACGCACTGAGTTTTAGAGCAAACCTCTCCATCTCAAGTTCTAAAATTGATTGAAATTCTAAGTGCATAAACAACCACCCGAGTAAGCAAACCGCCGAAATTCAAATTGCAATTTAATAAACTAAAAAGGACAACTCTCCTATCCCTTCTCTTTATATAAAATAAAAATAAAAGGCAAAATTTTGACAACAATTACAGGGTATAGCTTAAGAATACCTGTGTTAAAACCCTAATAAGGGTCTTGCTATAGAATTTCGAAGACCAATTACAAAGATCTCGACAAAAACCTCCTTTTTTTTCACAAGGCAACCCCTTTAAAGCACCTCTCTTTTTTGTTACAAAATTGGTGATTAGGGTTTAATATTTTATAAGGTTGGGGATGCAGTATAAATACTACGCCTGTAAATTAATTGAATTTTAGCGAACCGTTCATGAACCGTGCGGCGTGAAGTTCGTTTATGTGCGTTTATTTATTAAATGAACGAACGTGAACAATATTTTGTGTTCGTTTAATTAAATGAACGAATATGAACATAGGTCTCGTTCGTTCATTTACGTTCGTGAATGTTCGGTTATGTTCGTTAGGTTATGTTCATTTATGTTCATTCATTTATGTTTAATCTAATCTTCTTAAATCAATTTTGGTGACCAATATGTAAGTATCTTAAAAATATTAATTAATATGATATTCTGATGATCAAGTCCATAATTAACCCAATTTTTATTTGGAGATTAAATCCAATATATTAACTCGTGAGTCACCTCGCACCTATATTCATTTCCCCCTTTTTTCCCCAAACCCTAGTATTCACTGGAGAGTGGAGACGATCGCTGAAAACTTCAAAACAAGTTATATTATAGTGCAATCTGAAGTTTGACAGGTCTGTTTTCATCTCTTTATCTGTTTTATTTGGCTTAATAGTTGATAAGTAAAGTTATTGGGGGTATCTTCATATCTAAAACTCAAGAAAACATTATACTTCTTTCTAGAAATAGATGGGAAGATAAAGGTAACAATCAAAAGTATATGAGCATCAGTAAAGAGAAAAATATATAGAATTTTTCAGAAAACAAAACTAAGGTTTTTATGCAATTTCTGAAAAAGAGTATAATAGCGGAAGTAAGGGTTTTCCATGAATAACCCATTAATAAGTAGAAAATACACTTTAACAATGAACTTTTGTTTCATAGTTCTTGACTTTTAGTTGTGGAGTAGACTTTAGGTACGTTAAAATTTTGAATGGTGGTTTATCAATAATATTAGTTACGATATGTAGCATCGAAGGGATTTCGGATCTATGTTATTGCCTTGTAGTCCAATTTGTACCATTCGAAATCTTCATACTGTTAAAATTTATACTCTGCCAACGGAAAGGACCATTATTAACAAACCTCACTAAAGTCTGACATTGATGTCACAAAACTTTTAGCCGGCGAATTTATTAGAATAACGTAGTGGAAAATGATTGTTCATATGTAATCATGTACCACTAAGATAAATATTATAGCGTTAAATTAAAGTCGTGTGAATAATTAAATATCTTTAAAAGATCGATCGAAATATTTGATATCTTCAAGCATTTCATCACTGTTAATAAGCTCTTACGCTATTTATCACTGTAGATTTGGTTGATTTGCATTGTCGACTATTTTTCATGAAAGAACAATGAAGGTAGGGTCTCCAACGTTTATGTTCGTTTATGTTCGTGTTCATTTATGTTCGTATTCGTTTATGTTCGTGTTCGTTAAATGAACAAACATGAACAAGTTATATTCCTTAATAAACGAACATGAACAAAAAAAAATTTGTTCGTTTATGTTCATGTTCGTTTAAGTTCGTTTATTTATTAAATGGACGAACATGAACATACCTCCGTTCGTGTGCGTTCGGTTCATTTACAGGCCTAATAAATACAACACAAGTAGATACAATTTTTTATTGAGAAAAAGATAAAATATAAATGGTAAATTACATAAATAATTACTGGAATATGATTAATTTTTTTTAAATACTAAAGTTTTAAAAGTAACAAATAATAATAATAAAACAATGAAGCTTTAACAACTATCATGTTAATCTTACTAACATTATTTAACTACAAATGAGAAATATTAACTAATATTTGACGTTTGCCATAAAAGATCTAACGAATCCAGATGTGACAAAAGTCAATAATTCAGGTAAGTTTGCGTTAGACGTTTAATTTAAAACTAATTTAAGATATAATATATAAATGTTCAACAGATCATTGAAAACATATGAAAAATCTTCTAGACGTTTGATGCTTTAATGCTCTAATCTCCTTTGATGATCTGATGAGATTAATTTTAATATGTCATCTCAAAATAATGTTTCTCATTCTTTGAACATGTAAAGTGTTAGTTTTACTCGTTTTAATATTTAAATTTTTAATTTTTTAAAATTATATTTAATGTTTAATTTTTGTTTCATTTTAGTATCCCGTTAAATACTCAGCGCTAAGTTTTTTTTTTAATTGCAAGTTTAAGTATTAAAATGGACTAAAATCGATAGTTTAGGTATTAAACGCGTTAAGTTTTTAACGGTGAGTTACTAAAATGAAATAAAAACTAAATGTTATATATAATTCTGATAAAATTAAAAGTTTATGTACTAAAACATATCAAAATTGATAAATTATGTACTATCCACGTAGTTTATCCTAATTAATTTTAGTATGTTTAATACCGTTCTGTGTAGTTTCAACGAAACTCGAGTTCGAATCTCATTTTTTGGAAATATTCCCCTCCACTCCCTTTTTCCTTTTTAACTCTTCAACGAACCCTAAAAAAACCACCCACTTTGACAGCTTTATGGCCACCAGAATCGACGGCGATTCCTCCAGAAAATCAGCCTCCGATCCGACCTGTATAACCGATCTCTCGATATCTATTCGGATCCTCAGTCCTTGCTCCAGTCCGGGTCAGTTAATGAACGCTTTAATATACTCTTTTTAAGCCATTAATTTGAAATTAGAGTGTTAAAAAGTTCATGAATTGTTTTTTTGGGTGGAGTTGCTTTTTAAATTACGTTTTTTTTAAATTGTGAGAAGAAAATAACCCAATTATGTGACATGATGTACTAATTGATATTTCCCATTTGGGGAAATTGTTGTGGAAAATGGTCGAAGAAATTAGGACAGTAGATTCAAGGTTTATATGTATTTATTCCCGATTTTAAGAGAAATTGTGAGGAAAATAGTTAATTGGTATGTTTCTTTAGTTATTAAGTTTAAATTGGTGGCATGCATGATCCATGTATACTTTTCACAGCGTGAAAAGAACCGGTTTCTTTGATTTGTTTTGTTTTCAAAGATGTTAGAATGATCGATTTTTTGTCGATTGACAGGGTGTTTTAATGGATTCAAGTGGCGTTTTACTTAGATTATTATTTGTAGGATAACAAGTTGACAATATACTCATATTTGATTCGTTTCTAAAGGATTTCTCGCTCGATATTGTGGTGTGTGTCATCCGTTTTTTGTTTTCCATAAATCACTGAAATGATTGTTTGATCGTTACAGATTTGAACATTTCAAATTAGTTTTTCTTATCTGTTGTTTCTCCTACCTGATCAGGTTTTTGAAGTCTATACACAATGGATGATGTTACTGATTTGACCGGTGACGGAGGTGTTGTTAAGAAGATCATAACACGGGCCAAAGCTGATGCTCTCATCCCGTCTCAGGATCTTCCGTTGGTTGATGGTATACACTTGTTTCGGACATGCAGCATATAGTCTACGATGAGTGGCATTTTATTCATCTGATCATATATAAACCGTTGCTGAATTTCATGGCTGAGAAATGTCGTACAATAAAACACATCTTTTGCTCGAAATGATATCGTGTTTGGTCAGCTAGAATTTTCGTTTCCTTTTAATCTTATTTATCTATGTAGTCCAAATATATAAATTAGCTCTCTCACAAGATTCCGGCTTTGTCGATTTACTTCTTTGGTGTTTGAACAGTTCATTATGAAGGCACTCTTGCTGAAACTGGTGAAGTTTTCGATACTACACATGAAGATAATTCCATCTTCTCCTTTGAGCTCGGAAAGGGCACGGTTATTCAGGCTTGGGACATTGCTATAAAAACTATGAAGGTCGAAAATATGTTTTCTCCATGTTGATTTTAGGTTAATTAGGCCTCTGTAACTCTGATACACATCCATTTTTCCTTTTTTGACAGGTTGGTGAAGTTGCGAAAATAACTTGCAAGCCGGAGTATGCCTATGGTGCTGCTGGATCTCCCCCCGATATCCCACCTAAGTATATGATTCATATTCTCATCTTTTAATCTCATCAACAGCTATGACAATAGAAATACTTGATCTTGAATTAGCTCTGTGTTTTGTTTGGAGATATGGTTATGGTCTATGTTGTTTGAGCTCTTCATTTTGATTTAAGTAGTGTCCGATATTCAAGGACCCTCAAATACACGGAAAGAAAACTTAGCAAAAGATTGAACATAACTGTTACCCGTACTTGATACTTTCACCTGAGTCTCGAGTAAAATAGTTGGGATGAATGTGATTTGCTTTGAGATTGGGCCAAGGAAGAATGTGATTTCATATTTTTGTATGCAGTGCAACCCTTATATTCGAGGTGGAGTTACTGTCCTGCAGGCCACGGAAAGGTTCCAGTCTTGGTAGTGCTTCAGAGGAGAGAGCTAGGCTAGAGTAAGTTGCGTTTCTGTATTTCTTGCAACACTTTATGCTTGTATTTTGTGTAACTCTATTTGCAGGCACGTAACTATGCGAATTTCAATAAACTTAAAATCAGGGAGCTGAAGAAGCATAGGGAACTCGCCGCTGCAGTGAAGGAGGAAGACAAGAAGAAGAGAGAAGAAGCAAAAGCCGCGGCCGCTGCTCGTATTCAAGCCAAGTTGGACGCCAAGAAAGGTCAAGGAAAGGGTAAGGGCAAAGGCAAATAGTTAAAGAAGGATTTTACATATCAAACTGATGAAGTTTCATGTCAGCCATTTTAATGGTGATATTCCTTACTGTTAATGTTGAAGAAGTGTCACTTTCACACTTTTGCTTAAGCTACAATGTTGATTAGGTTAGTTCCCTTCCAGAACTTGGTTAATGGATTAGAAATAAACCCGGTCCGTAATCTTAGACACGATATGAAAACACGAGCACAAGTACGACACATTTGATAAACAAAATCATTTTTCTCAAAACTCACACCTAAATTACAACATGATTTTCACAAAATCGAAATATAAATATTATATTATTTCAATAAAAAAATCCCATGTTTTTTCCAGTCATTGCCATACATTGTAGAATCAACGGTCCAGCTTTATGATTGGACTATGGTGGGTCCCTTTATTTTAGAGGTCCATCTCTAGCCGGTTGACTAGCAAGATCACACTTGGTCTCTGCAAATCCAACCCTTGACTTCACCAAATCAAATTCCATCCACACGTTTTGTTGATGATGATTACCGATCACAAACGCTTCAATCCCTAATAGATCAGAGTTCCCAACTGTGAGGCAATACACCGAACCACTTCCCTTACTCATCTCGGGAACCCGATATAATAGCCTCTCACCCGATATGCTCATCTCGGCCCCGTCAAACATTAAACTGACTCGCGGTAAGTTGGAAAAACTCGTATAGACTGACTCGTTGATTCGGAAACAAAAACCCATTGCTTGTTGAAAAACCAAGTTTGGATCCTCGAAAACTTGTAAAACTCCTCTTGTTTGTTGCAAAATTTCATTTCTTATAGCGGTATAAACCGGACCCATTAAGAAAGTAAATTGGGTGCCTGAGTCGATCATTGTTTGACCCGCACCCGTGTGATCCGGTAAATTGGATTGTATATGCAACCCTATCAAAATATGGCAACGGGTCGGATATTTGAATCATAGGAGTATAATTTAATGTTTTAAGCCAAAAGAAGCTGGTATCACCGAGAAGTAAAACACTAGACGAGTCGAAACCCGATATACAACACGAGAATTTGGGAAAACCCATTTGACTCACAAAAGATAAGGACCCACGGTTCATGCCCATTAACCCGGTTGTTTTTGAATCTTCATACGGATTTGAGCTAAAACCCGAGTCCAAACCAAATAAAAAACCGGGTCGGCTCGAAGATCCAGTTGCGAAATTCTCATACGCAAGAGTTCCTTCAAACGAAGAAGCGTCAGCGTAAGAGATAGCCACGTGGCAAAGTTGATTATTCGGATCGCAGGAAGACGGTATGGGTAAATCTCGGGTTTGGGTTTTACAAACCGGTGAAGCACAAGGGACGGGATTGTATGAATTGGAAAGTTCAGGGGTAAAAAAGGAAGTTAAGTTTGGAGTTTTTTTACAGTGAAGGCATGATAGTTCACTCCCGGTGTCGAGGATCATGGTAACATTCTGCGGCGGCGAGCCGACGGATAAAGAAACTGTTAAAGTAACGTTATGGTGGAAGCCAAGCTTGTTGGTTGTGGCTCCGGCGGCGTCGAAGGCGGTAGAGGAGGAGGAGAAGCTAGGGACAAATGTAAGTGGGGGACGACCAAGGGTCGTTTTGAGATGTAAAAAGAGTGTTTGTTTGGAAGGAAAGCAAAAGTTTTGATGGAAAACGAGAAGGAAAATTGCGAAGCCAAGAAGAAAACGGAAAGAAGACACTGATTTTCTTTCTTTGTGCTTTGATCTTCAGTTTTGTTGGGTACGTAGAAGCAACAGTTTGAATGTTCTTAGCTTTTTTAGTAGTATTAGTTCCTTGGATAGTATAATAGTTTTTATTTTGAGAGTAATAAATTTTTTTTTTTAATTTTGGAAAAGTAATAAAATCTTTTTTAATAAATTAAAAATATTTAAATACATTTGTATATGAGTAGGTTGAACCGAGAAAGTGGTAAAGACAGTCGCACTTTAATAATTTTAATATTTTATATAATTTAAGTATATTCTTATTTTTTTTAATAATTTAATATCATAACTTTTAAATAAAATGTATTTTTATGTAATCTAAATTTATAATATAATTTTTTTAAAAGTTTATACTCTTTAACGTAAAATTATATGTTTATTCAAGTGTATGAGTAAGATCATAAGGATTATGATAAATTTATCGGTCTATGTACTTCTATTGTGTCCACATAATTCATTGTATTATAATTATGTTTAAAATATTTTATAGTTATATACGTTTTGTTTTATTATAATTTATATTATATAAATTTAGAGATATTTGTATATTTATATTGTATTTATGATTTATATTAATATTTAAACTTAATTTCATAATTAAATTGATTTATGATAAGATATTTATTGTAAATATTAATTTATAAAAACCAAGTTTATCTCCGGAGTTGAGCCATAAGTGAAATTCATGTTTTAATACCGAAAATTGAGTTGGATTTAAATTTTAGAACATTACAATATATATATAAATGTACTAAAATCAATCAAAACCCACTGATCATGGCACCGAAATGAAGTTTGTTTTATATGCGGTAGTACAATTTATAGTGAATTTAATGCTTTGTGGAAATGAGACATCAACATGTTAATAAGAAATATTTTCTTCAAAACAAACATATTAAATATACACGGTTTATTTGCGGCTCATTTGGTTCTGCCAAATGTTTACATTCATAAAAGATTTCTTTAGAGGTATCGATGCAGTTACAAGTATCAATAATATACCAATGCATCAAATAATTACAGTGCGTGTCGTCAATAGTTAAAAAAGATTATAAAAATATACCATCCTTATAATTATCTTAAATTATTATATATATATATATATATAATATTTAAAAATTTTAAATTTTATTAAAATATATATAAATGTTAATATATATACTTGAAATGAAATAAATGTAGTTGTTTCTCTCTCTTTTTTCCCTTATATATATATATATCCTCTAAAAATATATATAATTTATTAATCCTAATAAGATATTTTCTCTTTTCTTAGAGTTGCATTTAGTGTTGTCTCCTCGATTGATATTTATCAAGTGTTTTTATCGAATTTTTTAGTCTATCTAAAGTAAAATGTAAGATCATCTAAAAAATATAATCAATTCATTTCCTTTGGTCACCTGCCATCACCAAGAATTTCAAGGTCAACACACTTTCTTTTGTTATCCAAAAATGGACGCAGGTGCTTCAACTCGAAATCAGAGATAAGATTGATTTTTGCTTAAGAATAAGTACAAACTGAACTTGATAGTAAAATTATTCAGACTAGTCAAGACTTTTATCTTTATTGTGGATAAATTGATTTTTTTCTTCTTCGATAAACACTCATAATCATAAAAGAAATGTATGATGTTACTATTGAATCATAGTAAATCAACTACTGTTATTAATTTTAAATATAAATATTAATATGAATTTAATATTTTATTATTTATAAGATAATAAAATAAATTATCATCGGGTCCGACCTTGTCCCGTTTACCAACCTTGCACCTCTCTGTAAACAACAGAAATATTTAATTTTCAATATTAATTGCATTATGTCAAAATTTGTTATTATCAAACAAATAATTCTACACGCTTTCTTCCCAAAAAGAAAGAGACATTTTACATAGACGAGAGTTAATTATTTTATAAATGTTTTAGAAAATAGTGCTTTTAGAATTTATTGCATTATTTTTATGGTATTTAATACAAATTAATTACACCTTTAATTCTAAAAAATATTACTTCAATCAAATGTAGATATTAATAACATTTTTGTTTTTATTTTCGATTGACAGCTAATAAATACAGAAAATATTAATAAAACTTTCATCCAATTCAATATAAAAGAGTATTGGTTTGTATTTTCATTACTGAATCCTAAATAAAATCATTCTTAAGTTCAATGACTCTAATAAAAGAAAATTTCAATCTTTGTGACCAAAGTGTAAAGACTTTAAAAGTTCAGTGACCAGTACCCTCAAATTAATTAGAAAATGAATCATTTATGATAAAAATAATAATCACATTGCACAAAATATAATTAAGTCACTAACCTGTATAATATACAAATAAAAATATATTTATAATCAATACATTATATAATTACGTGTAAAATCAATCATTTGTACTATAAAGATTGACGAAAGAATAATGAAATATATCCGGATGTAAACTAAAATAAAATTGAGCAAAACACACATCTAAAATCTTTAGATATATGCATAGATCAAACTACTCCAGTGATTAAAGAGATAATTGTTATCTTTTAAAATTACGGATTCGAACACAACATTTACATTGATATTTAAATATTCATTGTAAAATAGTTGAAAGTTTATCAAATAAATACTACCTTACTATCACCCCATACTAATAAAGAAAATCTCAAAACCCAAGTTTTCTTTAATTTCATAATATGGTCAAAGTCTGTTATTAATCGCTATACATGTATTTTTCTTAAAATTTTAAAATTTCAACTTCGACTGAAAATAGTACAAGAATAATAAGATTAATAGACAAACTAAAACCGATCGAATTAGAGAATACGGCTTCAACTCACACGTAGATTTAAAAGGCATCGTTCGAGTCAAAACTGAAACTTTAAATTTTGAAAAATATATAACCAAATAGAACTACAGAAATTAAATCCACAACATACACATAATATGGGGATTAGTAACAGATTTGACCTTTAAAATATTCATACACATCATATTTTATGATCATGCATGTATGATCATGGGTAGAAAAAAATGGAAAATGCACTTGGAATATGAAAACATATGACAGCTATACTACGATTCGGATGTGAGCGTTAGATATGAATTCGTACGACACGGATGTATTCAAAATTTAATATTTTTAAGTATTTCCTTGCATTTGAAAGGTCCCAGAAGATCATATCCCGGTATCCATGGCGGATACGGAGCTCAACTTCACAGCAATATAAAAATTCTCAAACGTTTTCTTGACAAAACATAGCCCAACCAGAAGAGACTACACTACATTAAGTCAACAGGTCTTACATCGGCA